GTGTTCCATTTAAATTAACAAAGTTAACATCAGCGGCCATTTTGTTTGGACTTCAATTGTTTTTTTATTTTTTTTTTATTTTTTTTTATTATTTATTAATAGTCACTTAGCAATTTTACAATTGATGTGAACGTCAAATAGGTGCTTATATTACAAGTACATAACTCATAAAAAAAACATGAAAGCAAATACACACACCAACAAACACACCTACACACAATAATATAAAAACATGGCACAATATACAAGAGCCAATAGTATTTAAACCGATACTACATTGAATATACGAAACATTTATAATGTCAATACATGTCAATTTTTAACTACCATTTTCGAAAAATTCATAAAAAATCGTGCAACTTTTGTATTTCACGTTTTTTTATAACTCTTAAAGCAAAAAAGATAAAGTGGGGTCAAAATATAGTTAATCACCCTGTACTACATGTTGCCTGTATCTTTTATATTTATTACATTTTTTATAATTATGGTATAAAAAATGTAAACATTGTTGTAGACACGTGGCAGCTCTAAAAAATTTAATAAATATAATGCACTTATTTTAAGCAAAATACACACGTTATTATAATATTGGTTTTTTACTTTAGAGAAAACTGAGCCTTCAACATTGTTCTTGCACAGACAAAGTAGCTTACGCTAAATGTAGCACGCTATGAAAACAAATGTGTTATCCCAGTAATGTCATTATTTAACAAATTGTTTATTGTTATAGTTTATACATAACTGTTGGTTTGCGAATTGTTACAGTTAACTGTGATCTGAAAAACTAAAATTTTGAATAATGATATTTTCACATATTGAGAAGTGTAATATGTTTATTCAAGCACTTGCGGAATGTAGAAAACCTTCGTTAATAAAATCAACTGTTGTTAACAGAATTTTAAATTATGTAAATAGTAAAAATGAGCAAAACATTGAGAGATTGGAGTGAAGTATAATTTAGAGAAGAATAGTGCAAGAAGGATATTACAAAAAAATGGTTTCAAATGTTATAAGGTGAAAAAAATGCGCCTCTTGAGCTTGAGGGAGGATGATAAACCGAGGAAATTAGGGTTCTGTAGGTGGTATGCAGAATAATTTTCTGGTCTGATGTGCCTAATTTTTGTAACAATGGATTTTTTAATAAGAACATTTACTTGAAAGGGACTAATGGTAATTTACATGGGGTTAGAATTCTTGATACCAAAATCATAGGACCTCACTTCTATGATGGTAAACTGATGGGTACCAGATATTGCAGATTCTTAGCTTCAAAAAAGTACATTTTATTCATAAAATTGTTTGTAGTTGACCCGTTTAAAACAATCTCTATACATTAATCTACATTTTTGATACCAAAATTATAAAAATGTAATAAATATAAAAGATAAAGGCAACATGTAGTATATCGCATGAAAGAGGAAAAGATAAGCAATTTTTTGTATCCACAGCCTGCTTCGATGACAATTTGTTTTTTGTCCGAGTAGAGGGCGCAGCAAATTACATACAACACTTCAAAAATTTGTTGTTGTACACCAGGTAAAAGATATCAATTTTACCGTGAAATTTTATTAAAATAAGTTTTATCTATCTCTTAAAATAAAAAAGTTAGCCGGCCCTAAAGTCTCGGTACTTTTCCGGTTTTTTTACGATTTGTCATAAAGTTGGCCGTGGATCTCAGATTTGTTTTTATAAGCATCAAGGCCTCAAAAATTGCAACAAAAAACATATATTCTTGACGTGCATCGTGTATTAAGCGAGATACATAGCAGTGGCCCTTTTATAGTAGACAGCCTGTATATATTTTTTTTAATTAATTTTAATGCTTCTGAATCCCAAGGATGTGGAGTTTCGAAAACATGTTTATGTAGCAAAGTGTCCTGAATTTTCATACCTGAAATTCGGGTCATCCTGAAAATGGAGGCAATTCGTTTTTATAATAAAATTCTTCCTATTTTGACTAGAAATATATTATCTAGGATTTATCCAAATGTCCACATCCTTCAAAAGTGTTAAATTTTGGCTAATTAAAATAAAGCAGTTTTTTCCTCAACCAAAAACCCCGCAGTATATCTAGACTGTCCTTATTTCACAAAGAATTTAGGAAATATTCGTCATGATGCATGATGTTCGTTATTTTTACTATGTTAAAATAGTTATTTTGCAAAGATTGCCGAGATATTCGTTCTTAATTAGGTATTTCTTTTAAAAGTCTTTAACATTTTTTTTGGTTTCGATGTCATCTTGTTTCGGTTATGACGTTGACGACATTTTTTAAACCTGTATATCCTACGGAACGTTCTCGCCGAACTATGTACAAAATGAAACAACGGTAAGAGGACCCTTATGGAAAGTGGTTTTCAACTAATTTTTTTGAAACTTTGCCATGTGATAGTTCTGATTGCGTAGATCAAAAGTCTCAATGGGCACAAAGTCTGGAAGACCTTTGTTTTGGACCTACGGCCCTTGAAAGTTAATTTTTTCCTCTTAAGCTGCATAGTAAGAATACAGCGATGATTCTTTTTTGTAAAATTACGTTACGTTAATAGTAAATGGCCTTTGCCCGATCGATTAGAGATGTTTTCAACTTCCAATTCCGACCGAAAGTAGCCTACTCGGACCGGAAGTCTGTTTTTTCAAATAAAATAGTAGATATAATTTTTTATTGCGGTTCAGAACTACCACATAGCAAAGTTTCGAAAATATTAGACGAAAGCCATTTCCCATGATGAGTGCGTGGTTCTTGAAATGAGTTTCCAGCACATTCATATCTATCGAATCATTCTAACTGTTAGAATAGAATAATATTACCTCTTTGTTGGAGAACGTTCTGCCCAAATACCTAAAAACGTAAGCGTTCCCACGCAATGTCGACAACGTCATATCGTAGTCACAGGAGCAACTGCAAGTGATTGTGATTTTTCTGCGTCAACAGGTACAACACCAGGGAATATTAAAACGCACAAGAAAATTCCCGTTTTCATCGTAGAATATCATCACGAAGTAATTCCGTTTATATATAGAAATATCGGATCCAGACATTTGCCTTTGGAAGGATCGACATTGATCCATTTCGATTCACACCCCGACATGCTTATACCGAAAAATATGCCAGCAGAAAAAGTATATGAAAAAGACGCACTCTTCGACAGTTTGAGTATCGAAAATTGGATAATGCCCGCCGTTTACGCTGGTCATTTTACGAATCTGGTGTGGGTTAAACCGCCGTGGGCCAAACAAATTAACGATTCACATCAAAAGATTTATTTGGGGAAGGACAAAACGTCCGGCACCATAAGGGTACATTGTAAGGAGAATTATTTCATATCGGAATGTCTGTATAAGAAATTGGACGATTTGGAGAACATAAGAGAAGCCAACTTGGACGTGCTAACCGTGGGGGGTAAAATATTTAACTATAATGAAAACCTCAATAACGTTCGCGGGACCGTTGAAAAATATAATTCACCCTATATCTTGGACATAGATCTGGATTTTTTCAGTACGAAGAATCCTTTTAGAGATATTTACGAGAAAGCGTCGGCATACGAACGACTCGAAGAATTATACAAATTCGTGCCCCCAATGGATAAAAATGATGACGTAATTGCGGCAGTGGTCGAGAAAAGGGAAAAACAAATAAATGCTCTGGAAGGGATTTTCAGAAATTTAAAGTTGAATAAGGCAATACCAGACGTGCACGAAAAAGATGCGGTAATACAACAGGTCAACGAACTGACGTCGTCTCTTATGAAACATTATAATAACGAGGATATCGACTGGGATTTAATTCACGATGCCGGCTGTACCTGTGACGATTCTGGATTACCTCACCACATTTCCAACGACGAGGAACTGGTCGTTATGTTTGAGAGTTTTGAACGTTTCCTAGAAATATTACCTTTCCCTCCTGCCATAATAACCGTTTCCAGATCCACCGAAGATGATTATACACCTTCTGATTATGTCGACACCATTCAGGAAAAGTTAATTCATATTTTAAGAGAAAGGTTTTCCTGTGACGAACCGATCCGTAACTATTTAGATGTAGTTTCTGATGATGAGGAAATTTAATACATATTAGTAAAATTCATAATACTTAATCGATGAAAATTGAACATTTATTTATTTTCTTTTACACGTACGTTCCCGCCTAGCATCAATCACAACTCTTTTTCTATACTTGTCCGCCAGTATCGCGTAGTGAAAAAATATTAAAAAATGTATTTAAGCCTGTCGATTATAATGTTAAACTCGTTAAACGAATACTCCGAAACAATGTAAATGATATTAATTAAAATATTTTAAGTAGGTAGGTAGTATCAAGTAGGTTGTGACATTGGGATATACCTTTATTTATAATTACAGAATAAAAACAGTAATACTTAAGTAGTATTATTGTATTCCGACCTGATCATCGCTCTAAGTCTAAATTGTTACATTTTGATAGTGTTTAAAAAAGTGTTAGTGATGTTTCCTTAAAAATAGTTTTTAACAGTTGTTGCCGATTAATTTTAAATATTACACAGAGGTTCTTCCATTTACTACACGCGGCGTAGTCCCAGCAACCACTGTCCTAAATATAAAATACAAAAAGAAACTTGGGGAGTTATCTCTTTTTTCTGTACCTGACAAATCTGAATGAAGCAAGTGGACACCAGACTTTATCCAAATATGGTCGCTGTTACGATCGAGCATCTCAAACAAAAAATATCATCTACCGAGCACTTACGTAAGTAAGGCCAAGGTAGAGTGGAAGACGTTTCTAAAAAACTATTTTTAGCACGTGTCGGAAGCAGGGCTTGCGAAAATACGGGTGCAACAGTTAGTCATCATAATCTGAATCTTTCATTCAACTTCTAATAATGTGTTGTCTTTATGTAACATAGATGCCGTGATGCCGTTTAAAGGTTTAAATTAAGTTCGTTCGTATTTCTTTGGATAAATTAAGGCGATCCGTGTCGTATTAGCACCGGTCATATAAGTCGATATAGGTTGTGAAAGATTGATTTTGAAACATGAGTGTTAAGTTACGCATGCGTCCACCGTCCCCAAAAAGTGTTACTTTTGAACCTTGTTTTTCGACTGGAATCAAAGAGATCCGGAGCTCACTGAAATTTAGGAATGTCGCAGAGTGGGAACAATTTCTTAGTAAGTATGTATTTTCAAAAATTGTCCCTGGTAGATTGTAACCGTCATAGATCGATCGGTGATTACGAAATGACTGTGGGGCATATATTATTATTACCTAATGCATTACGTTTTAGTTTTCAAAGCCGTTGTGAAGCTGGGAATTTTGAAAACACTGAAAATACTGAAAAAATTAAATTCTGATTGAAATCGTTACGAACATCGAAGTTTAAAAGCTATCCAATGCTTACGAGTTTTGTTCTGTTGCGTAAAAAGAGACGAGTTTATAGTAAAACATAAAATATATGAATAAAAATGAAATCTGTCTTATAATACCTACGGAGTATTTGTAATTTGTATACACGTACACGTGCGCACACAATCGTGTCCATATCAACTTCTGATGAGATCATCGATGTACGTGTAGGTTTAGTTTATAATAATGTGTAACGCGAATTACAATCAGCCACACTTGACCTAGGTACTACATTTTTAGAATGGGTTACATAATTAAGCTGTTTGTTTTATTTACCATCATACCATCGCTGTTGTACTCGCCTACTTTTGTACATACAACCTAAACATCCGGCACCATATTATTTTATTTTTATATTCAACTTTTGTCTGACCAAATATGTAATGAGATTAAAATTGCCATCAAACAATAATTCTGTATTTATTAAAAGCAGGACTAAATTTCAACATGATTTTTGTACTAGACTTTTTAAATCAAATTTCTCGAAAACTATTAATTCTAGACATTTCTAACAAGTACATCTTTTTTATTGAAAAATTATGATTCAGGGCAGATTCTTATTACTCTTTATTTCTCATACCACATGTATAGAGTTTTAGTCAAAACCTACCGAAACCTACATATGAAATATACAGTGTGTTTGTAAATAAGTGCGAAATATTTTAGGGTGTGGTTGCCGAAGTTGTTTTGTGAAGAAAAGTTCATATAAACATAGGTCGAAATATGCTTAGTTTCCTAGATACATACCTAGTGTTTAAATTTTAATTTTTTATTTATTTTTAGTTATTTCAAAGAGTTTTAAAGATATTGACTCGAAATTTGAAAAACGCTTTGGATGAATATATGTGCGTTTTCTGGGGTGATCCGAATATTTCTACTTGCACTAGTGGCGTTCGTGCGAGAATGCCACAACCTTTTTTAATAAAAAAAATGTTACGCCACCGACTTTTTCCCGTTTTGATATATTTTTAGAAATCCGCTATCTTCAAAATGTTTCGTAGGATAGGTACACCGTTTTTGAGGAAAAAAATAAAACATATTTTATTGTAGCTTTTGTTAATCTTCTATTTTAAAAGCCTCTTCTAATAAAGCGTTATTATGTTCAAAGTAAAAATGCACTTCAACATTGAAAATAAAAAGTTGATATGAATGTGGGTGAATATTTCAAAAAGTTTCATTATCTAATATAGTAACATTAAACCAAAACAATAACACAAAATAACAGTAATAAACATATTTTTCTAATAGTCGCAAACCTACAAGAGATGTTGAAAATGACCTCCCTCACAAATGTACAAGATTCAACTCTTCGCCTCATTGACTGTCGTATTCGCTGAAATATTCCTATTGTATTTCTTATTGTCTCACAGCCGGCTATAATTCGATTTCGATTCCTCAGGTCTTCAACATTTTCTTTCCAGTCAGTATCTTTAAAACTCTGAATTAATAAAAATAAATAAAAAATTTAAAATATAAACGCTCTGTATCTCAGAAACGAAGCATATTTCGACCTACGCTTATATGAACTTTATTTCACAAAATAACACTGCGGCAACCACCCCCTAAAATATTTCACACTTATTTACAAACACCCTGTATAAATTAAACGCTAGTAGATCACTCTTTTAGTGTGACGTCACATATTTCGGCAACCCGCAACAAAATGTCAGTTGAAATTGTACAGATTGAATCTGACCCTTGTATACTATTTACATACAAGGTGTAACTGAAATAAGTATTCAAACTTTCTGAGCTTGTAAAACAAGTCGAAAAATGACGAAAACTTTAGTACAATTTTTGTCAGTGGCGGCTCCTAAGGGAGCTACGCTCTCCTAAAGGGGTAACCTCGGAAACAGTTTTTAATGCGTAACATCCAAACGGCTCGACATTAAGTCACGAAATTTTGGTGAGATATTAACCTTGACGTGCTTAATAAGTCTCATAAAATACATTTCAAAATTTGCTACAGGGGCGTGAGAAAATGCAGGACCCAGGGACAAATTTAATCATATCTTTTTTGTAGTCAATTTTTTCTAGTTCCTGACTCGAAAATATTGAAATTTGAAGTATTTAACATAAAAAAGGTCCTCTTGTTAAATTTCACTAGGATGTGCCGTTTTCCAGTAAAATCGATTTCAATCATTCCCAACGTGCTCCAAATTCAACTTTCATTACATAGCAAAATAAATTAATTGCAGTGTGCCATGGGGAAAACAACTAGTCTGACAGTTAACAGAAATGTCAAGTATTTTTAGTTTCAAATTTGTGTCATTTGAGTATTCGCAGTGCCGTTTTATAGTAAATAAAAATATCAAATAATTTAAAAATGCAACAGTATACATTTTCTGAGTATGTAGATATGCTTTTGACGTTAGGTGAATGTCATGGAAGCGCAAGAGCAGCCGCACAACGATACGGTGAAAAGTTCCCCAACAGAAATGTGCCCAATTACAAAACATTTCTTTGCACAGAAAGGCGTTTGCGAGAACGGGGTACGTTAAAAAGGAACAATTTTGAGAGAGGCAGGCGTAGAATAATTAGAAATGTCCTGAATGAGGAAAATATTTTAAATTTAGTTGAAGCTAACGCCACACTTAGTACAAGACGACTATCAGTTCAAAATAACATGTCTCATATGACAGTATGGAGGATAATGAGAGAACAACAATTGTATCCCTATCATTATAGACAGGCCCAAGACATTTTACCACAGGACAGGCCCATGCGCAGACAGTTTTGTCAGTTGGTTTTAGACAGGCAAGCCGAAGATCCGATGTTTCTATCGAATATTATTTTTACCGATGAAGCTACCTTTACCAGAAGCGGTGTTTTTAATATGCGCAATGAACATATGTGGGCCGAAGAAAATCCTAATGCTCGGAAGGTAACCCATTATCAGCATTCATTTAAAATAAATGTTTGGGCTGCCACATTAGGAAATAATCTATTTGGATATCACATCATGCCTGGAAATTTAACCGGAGCAATGTACCATCAATTTTTGTCTACTAGATTGTATGAATTTTTAGAGGATATTCCTTTGGTAAGACGAGGTTCCTTATGGTACATGCATGACGGCGCCCCTCCTCACTTCAACCGTCAATGTCGACAGTGGTTAAACGAGCACTTCCCAAATCGCTGGATTGGCCGAGGAAATGATGCTGCCATAAATTGGCCTCCACGGTCACCAGACCTCAACCCAATGGATTTTAACGTGTGGGGTCAAATGAAACAAAAAGTGTATTTCCAAGCTGTTGACAATGAGGAACAGTTGCGTCAGCGTATAGAAAATGCATTTAATGAACTCAATGTGGAGCACAAACTATACCGGAACCTATTTTCTTTGGAAAACAGGTTACGTGCGTGCATTAGGGCAAACGGCGGACATTTTGAAAGTTGAATCTAGTCTGTCTTCTTGACTAGGGCACATTTTCTGCTAAAGAAATTAAGATATTTGGTTAATTTGTTAAACTAAACTAAATGGTTTAAATCTGTTAAAATGTTACGTAAAAGTTTCAGCCGCTTACAATAGTTTAATAAATAATCTCATATGTATCTATTTTTTAGCTTTTATTTATATCACCATATTTTTATTTGTTACTATTAAGAGTGTTAAAAATATTTGACATTTCTGTTAACTGTCAGACTAGTTGTTTTCCCCATGGCACACTGCAATTAATTTATTTTGCTATGTAATGAAAGTTGAATTTGGAGCACGTTGGGAATGATTGAAATCGATTTTACTGGAAAACGGCACATCCTAGTGAAATTTAACAAGAGGACCTTTTTTATGTTAAATACTTCAAATTTCAATATTTTCGAGTCAGGAACTAGAAAAAATTGACTACAAAAAAGATATGATTAAATTTGTCCCTGGGTCCTGCATTTTCTCACGCCCCTGTAGCAAATTTTGAAATGTATTTTATGAGACTTATTAAGCACGTCAAGGTTAATATCTCACCAAAATTTCGTGACTTAATGTCGAGCCGTTTGGATGTTACGCATTAAAAACTGTTTCCGAGGTTACCCCTTTAGGAGAGCGTAGCTCCCATAGGAGCCGCCACTGACAAAAATTGTACTAAAGTTTTCGTCATTTTTCGACTTGTTTTACAAGCTCAGAAATTTTGAATACTTATTTTAGTTACACCTTGTAGATATCTATAAAAATGATCAACTGCAACGAGCCTTCTTTGCATTTTATAGTAGGTCTACCAAGTATTTTGTATAGTTTTCTCGGCTTTCTGCTGTGTCAGTCTGTTTATCGAGTGTTTTTTTTTCTTCGAGTGGTTTTTTATAGACGTACTCTTAACCACAACCAAACTTTCCTTGAATGATATCCTGTTGCGAGGCTACTTCAAAATTATCTTTAAAGCGCATGTTCAGTAACATTGATTGAATTTTAATTTATTAATTACTAAAAAAGTCAATATTGTTCTAAATTTAAAAATATTAATTCTATAAGTAATTCTTTTAGTTTGTCACTTGGGATTTGAAACTTCTTAAATATTTCTAATATTGCTAGAATATCGCGATATTTAAGGTTATGACAAAGAAGACATTTTTTGGCACTTATGTCCAAAGTACCTACATAAGGTCGAAAATCGATCTGGTAAGAATACTGAGAAATTCTTCATGACAATGTATGTATACTATGGAGTTGCCTGTTATTTGGCGTTTGTGACTTCACTACTAAAAAGGTCTATTGTAATGGGGAACAAGGTACTTTCAATGTTTATATTAACTGCCATGTTTTAATTACTTTTGTGCAAAATTACATTTTTTATTGAAAAAAATTATAGATACCTACTCATTAAAAAAAAAGTAAATGTGGTTGTGATATTTGGGGAAGCCTAGTACGGCTTTATAGAAACAAATAATTTATGTCAATGATCAACATAAATATTGAAAAGTTTATAAACACGTTTTTCTTCGTTTCCTATTATAAATATTTTATGAAACATTTTTTATAATTATTTTAAAACACAAACTAGTTTGACTTACAATTTAATAACGTATGTCTATACACATGCCACATACCAATATTTAATAAATCGTGGAAAGAGTACCTATATAAGTATATTTTTTAAATTACAATAAATTTTTAATGTTCGGCACTTTGACCAAAAAAAATCGGCAGAATAATTTTAGATTAGTATTCTGGGGAACACTTACTATTATTACTCCTAAAAAACTGACCCCTCCCCCCTCCTACTTAAAATTTAGCCGTGTAAATGAAGTGATTCTACTGTAAGCTTGGGCTGTTACAATTACTGAAACATGATACCGTTTTCAGAATTTAATTAACTTCAGTTGTTTTCAAGAAAAACATTTTCCCTAAGGCGCAACAATCACCCGGTACAATATCATGATAATGATTTCAGTATAACTACTTAGCAACATAAAAAAATTATATAAAATTTTCATACTTTTACCGCTCATTTAATTTTTTTCAGATGCTTTATTAGCCGATCTCCAGAATACAGTGACTGGATCTTCCGGCACTACGGGATATGGTTCCCTAAACACTTGCAGAGGCATTAGGCAGTCGCCTGAAGTGGAGGTTACATCCGTAAAGGTAGGAACTTACTTCATTAATATACATATCTTCAAAATATAGTCTCAGTTGTTTTATTCTTACGAATTTCAGAGCGGTCACATGAAAGTTATTATCTCTGTTATACTTCGAGTTATGAATTTATTGTGTAGCATATATTTAACACACGTTTTAAATAGATGTCCTGTAAATTTTTTACATATTTGCAATGAAAGGGAAGTTCATTTGGGCCAAAAATGGTTATAAACAATGTGTTAGCCTCGGATGACTAGCAACTGATTTTTCTGTCCACACCTCCCTATGTATTTGAAATAGCCTGTCAAACGTTATGCAGATGTTTCTCTCCAAATGAACACAGATCCATGACTTCCCCGATATGGCAGATAGAGAAAAAAAATAGCTACCTACATATAGCTAAGACGTTACCACAAAAAAAAAAAAAAATAGCCCAGCAAATGCCATGGAGTAATATGTTCTTAATAATATTGTAAAGCAGCAGTACACAGCGTGCCTATTCTCAAAATGGGAGACCATAAGTTAGGTATGCAAAAAATTACTATTAGTTGTATACAGGGTGTTCCATTTAACACTCCCGCTGCCAATATCTCCGAAATGAAGAAATTTATTTAAGTTTCGGAAATTGGGGTTGTTAGGTTCCTCGAATAGCTTCAAATTGTAGTTAGAATTGTTCGTTCAAATTTTTTTGTATAGATGGCGTGGCGATACTAAAAAATTTTTTGTTCCCTGGAACGTGGAAATACAGTCCTTCTGAAATATTGTTAAATTCTGAGTAATTTTGGTAATATAAAGTTTTTTCCTATATTTACTTGTTTTCGAGATATGTCGACTTCAATATGCAATGTATGATATACTTAACAGGAAAGGAAAATCTATTATTTTATTTAAATCACACTGAGACAAAATATTCTTTTAAAATATTATAGTAGAGTTTTCTCCAAGGAAAACATACATCACTTCAGATACCTATCTTTTAAGTAAAGAGAAGTGGAATGAAGTATTTCATGACAATTTCTTTGTAACCTTTTAAATTCGAAGTAAAGAAGTTATTAAAGTATTATTCATTTTATAATGTAGAGGAATACCTCACTAGCGATTTCTTGGACTGGCGTTAGGGACCTTTTTAAATTTGTTTTACATGTATTGTCGATTTTTTAAATTATTTCTCATATATACCTAACTATATACTATTATTTATTTATTTTTACTAACAGTTGTATTCAATTACTTGTTTCTATCTATCTATCTAAGTACTATCTGTATTTACATTTACGCTTGACAATTTCTCATATTTACAGTAGGTAAATCTATAGAAAATAAAGATTATTATTATTATTACATATTATTATTATTATTAATTAATATTATTTTTTCTAATTTGATATTTAGGCCAAAACAAAATTCGGAAAATGAGTTACTTATATGCAAAAATTGAATGACAATCTTGCATAAAAAAAAGTTGACCATCGTTAACGAAAATGTTAGCTTATGTAATACCTGAAAGTTTAAAGCTGGATTTAGCTTTTAGTACCTATTTGCAGTTACATACAAAATTATTCATACAAATAAGAGAAAAACGAAAGTACCTATTCATAATGAATTGAAATATGCTTATAAAGTGAAGTCGTTTTCTAGGAATTAAGCACAAACAATGGAATTACAAAGATTTCGAAATTTAACACTCCATAAATTCATAATATATTACAAAAAGAAAGCTTACCATTGAACTTCAACCAACGTGTCTAACTCCCTCGAAGAATCTCGACCATATCCTGGCCTGGCACATTCACTCGCGAAACGCGAAATTGATGAGTGAAATTACCGAATATTTCTAAAGATGCTCGTCCCTAGCTCAACTCACCAATCAACGGATATCAACAAATTTAGTCATTAAGTTGATCACGGCAACCAACATGGATAAATTCCGATCAGTCACTTATGGTCACTATCACTAACCGTCTTTCATCACTAAACCATTGTGGATGACGCACGAAACACTGAAATAAAAACATTAAGTATATTAGTCTTTTAAAAACACTTAAATCAACTCAGAAAATTGAGTTTATCTTTTACAAATTACTTTTAACTTTATTATTAAAGACGGTCATTGATTTACGGTTATACTTGGTCAACCATCAGAAGAAATGAAGATGATAATATTAATCTATTAGTCCAATTAAATAAGCCTTTAAATCGAAATTTTGGTCAACTTGCCTGAATTTTTGATACGAGTTAGTTTGAGGTATGTTATAACAATAAGTGACAGTAATTTTTTGTTCAACCCCCGGCCAAGGATTTCAAGTCACGGAATACTTGCTGTAGGTTTTCGCAATAACCTTAATTTATAGGATACTTTTAGTAATTATTAAGGGCGGAATAAGAGTGTTGCTTTTCAAACAAAGTATAATAACGTTTTAAATTCTTTTATGTAAGTACACCAATCCTATATTTATATTTGGTAGCAAGCATAATGTCATTTTTTTCCATTTCTATATCGACCAAAAATTTTGGTGATATCGATGCTTTATTGTGGTCTCCAAATGGGAGAAGTAAACCAAAGTAATTCATAAAGAAAAATAAATATATTTACATTTGTATACATTCCTTTTTTTTTGTTTGTTTATGGGACATTAGAAATCGTCGCTCCTTTACCAATTTGGTAATGTGGAGGTACCTACTTGTAGCTTTTTAGGTTTTGACTGAGGACTGGCGTAAAGTATAGATTATACAGACACGAGGATTATATATATATACATTCTTTGATACTATGAATGCTTAATGGTGATAAATCACAAATTCCTGGGGATAGAATTTTTATCACCTCAGGACATCAGAAAGATTATAGCCATTAGTCTGTACTAACCGTAGCCCCTACTAACAGCATGCACAATGCGTCACAAGACCTGAGGGAAGCAGATTACAGCACTGCTTTTTTCTTAAAGATGGTGACTGCGCATGCTCAGGTACTCATGTCATAAAGAGGGTGCAACATTTAACCCCTTTCTATATAAATATTATTATAAATATTATTACAGAAAAAGGGAAGCAATAGGTTTACATTTTCAAGCTAATTTAGATAAAGTACCAATGAGAAATAAAAGAACTGTAGCTATTTGAAACGTTTTGAATTTCGTCTAGATATTTTGTTTCAGAAACATCAGTAACTATTAGCATGACCGAAATTTTTTACTTTGGACTTTAATTCAAATTCAAGGCAATGTACAGTCCACTGACATAATAGTTATAAGACACATACAAATGTAGTTATCTATTTCTTGACATTTGATGTATACTTGTTATATAAGTGTGATATAAATTATTGCTTTTATTTCTGAAAGCCAAATTTTTCTTTGATTCATAGCCCAAAGAACAAAGCTATAAAGTTACAGTATGTTGAATAAACATTCTTAAAGGAAGCCGTTTTTTACAACTTTGTCTCTGAATGGCATTGGTATATGACCACTAATTGAATACCTCTTCAAAGTAAGATGCAGTTTCCAGTTTTTGCTATATTCATTTTACTAATTGGTTTAATATGTCTGCTTATATTTTAAACTTCCTAAACATCCTTTTGATTTTGTCTGTCGTTGATGTAGTTTTTAGATAGGACTATTTCGATATTACTTGTACTAATATAATTTGTGAATTATACCTTCAAATGGCATGTACTTCATCTTAACAGATGCAAACTTTTGATTTGTTTGGCCACAATCAACAAAATTCCATAGTTGGTGAATTATATATTTATATGTACAGGCATATACACTGTAAATAAATCGGCCTGAGTGAAATCCATTGAGTGAAATCATTGAGCACATTTTCGGTCAATACTGGGCACCTTGACAACTCTACACATTTTTGATAATATTTGAACCGATAGTTTCACTCATAAAATTTTAGTTGTATCTACTCATACTAATAGAGGAAAATTTCACTCAATCGCATGGACAGAAATTGATACATTATTGAGTGAAATTGAGTGAAAATAGGTCAAATGTTCCTTACAGTGTATATTTTTTAACTTTTATAACTTTCGTACGCTTCTTAGGTTGTAACTCTGGTTAATATTAACATTTTTATTCATACTATCAGGCTACTCTTCTTCTAACCTAATACTTCATTTAAGGTTTCCTTATGTAATTTCTTCCTAATACTTCATTGAAAGTTCCCTTATTATCACTTAATTTTGTCCTCTCCTCAATTACTATCTTTTCATACACTGTCATAAATGAAACAGTATGTATAAAAACAAAACTTGATCGTTTTTTTTTTTGTATACCCACTTATAGAGATACAGAGGAGTTGCTCAATTAAGTTTTCTATAATAACATGTCACTCTGATGTATCATGTTTGATTATAGTGCTATACTTAGTAATCGAATGTTTTTTTTTTGTTTATATACACATACTTACGTACATGTATGTACACACCTATATCTATATAGATTATTTTAATCAAATAAAATACATAAGGTGTTATTAGCAAAACTGCGTATATAATTCGCATTAAGTTTCATTGTAGAATAGTACCTACTGAGTGACAAAACAGTGCACTCATTTTTAGATTTCATGTACTCTATTTCCAATAATTTTATTTTATCTACATCAAAGGCTCCTTTTACTAGTAACCTCTTCTTCACATTGCTCTTCTTATCCATACTGCTCACAATTTTCGCCCCTCCCCCTTTGTTTTTTGGTATACTCTCTTAATTTTATTACTCGCCTTTTACACTGTTTAATATGACGTAAATATCTCCAGGAACTCGTACTAAATACGACATTAATTTGTTGAGCACCTAATTCACTCTCATCTGTAAAAAGATGTAAATTTCTAATTTTTGTTTGAATTAAAAGGGAGTGGTGAGTATTAGTATATACTACCTCACTATTTTGAGTAAGACCCCGTAAGAGTAAAGAAAGAGTTAACATAACTCCGATCTATCTAAAAAAAAAATTGCATTATATTTGTACATAAGTACAATTATTTTTTAGGAACACAGTACAATCACTGCTTCTGAAAAAAATGCTTTAAGCAGATTACATATTTAAATTTTGCTTATGTAAGCAAGGCAAATTTATAATAGGAAGTCTTTAGAACGAAAAAATCACTTTGCGGGTATACCATGGTGTGCAGAGGGTAAAAATAGCAGTACAATTACGACCAAATGTCTAAAACAAGTTATAGGTGACATGGTCAAAACATCAAAACGGCTAAACCCTTTTAAGACAGTCAAAACGACCGTATACTGCCCCAAATATTTGGCAAACAAAAAAGTTTGCGGGCAAAGTAGTTAAAACAACTACGATATGGCTAGCTAGACTTTCCATTTAAGCGGAGTGAAAACCACTCTCGACATATACACTACACTACACAAGGCACAATGATACACAAAACAGATAGGACCTGCACGTGCGGCACAAATAAATGAACTGGCTGGCTATCAATAAGTAGTAACGGACTGTTACGAAACACTTTTTTCCTTTAAACCTGTGCGCGCGTCATGTATAAGTGAGACCTACCAATATGAATCATAGAAGAACGAAAAATAATTGCCGGTTCTTCATACTAGAGGTAACACACCAAAGGAAAATAAAAAAGGTGAAAGATGACAATCTAACTAATTCTACATTTTGACAATTGTTTTTTCAAGTGACCCCCTTGTAAATGGAATTAATAGATATTAATAGAACATAATATAATATAATTCATTATATCTTTTATTTATTTATTTATTTATTTATTTATTAATAGTCACTTAGCAATTTTACAATTATCAATTATTGATGTGAACGTCAATTAGGTGTTTATATTACAAGTACATAACTCATAAAAAAAAAACATGAAAACAAACACACACACCAACAAACACACCTACACACTAAAATATAAAAACATGGCACAATGTACAAGAGCCAACAGTATTTAAACCGATACTACATTGAATATACGAAACATTTATAATGTCAATACATGTCAATTTCGTACACAATATAACATAAAAAATGGGCATTTAGAATAAATAATTTAATTTAAAGGTACACTGTTAAAATTCCTCTATGCTGTATAGACATTTCTCAACAAGGTACTTCTTAAGTTCGTTTTTGTACATGGTATAGGACTGGATATTTCCAATACAATCAGGCAATTTATTGTACAGGTACACCCCTACACAATATGGAGATTTCTCATATAGAGCTGACTTATGCGCTGGAACTCTGAGTAGATTACGATATCTTGTTTGATGACTATGGGACGCGCCATTTATTTGATAATTACATAAATTTACTTCACGTACTTAAGTATTGCAAAAATATATATTGATGGTACCGTTAATAGTCTTTTCGATATGAAGTACTCTTTACATGACTCTCTTGGGCCAAGTTTAAAAATAGTCCTAATCATTCTTTTTTGTAATATAAAAACTCGTTGCATATCTGAACTCTGTCCCCATAAAATTATATTATATGATAAATGGCAATAAGCTAAAGAATAATATACAGTAATTATATGTTTTAGTTCCATGGTATTTCTTAATTGCGACAATGCAAAACATGCCTTATGCAGTTTTTTGCACAGTTCATTAATATGATAGCTCCAACTCAATCCATTGTCTAAATACACCCCAAGAAATTTAACTTCATTAACCTTTTTAATAATCATGTTAGACGAGCAAACTGCAAAGTCGACAGGCAATGTTCTTTTCTTTGAGAAAAATAACCATTCAGTTTTTCCAAAATTTAGTATTAATAAATTTTTGCTACACCAACTACGAAAATTCTCAA